GGAAAACTGGCGGGCGTCGCGCCAATACCACCCTCTGACACGCCCCATCAATCAATCTCCAGAATATTGCTGGTACTCGTAACCGACAGCAGGTTCGTGTGAGCAGGAAAGTGTCAGCGGAAAAAGAATCTCGAGTTACGAGTCGAGAGCTTACAAGTCTCCACCCATTTCCACGCATATCTGATCATCGCTTAGAATGACTTTGACTAAGCAGCTGGTATTTAGGAGTCTGCTATGAAGACTGAAATGGTAATCGGTGATCGACGAATGCTACGATTGAAGATCGAAGTGATGGTCCTGCAGAAGTGTCATGAACAAACCGATCCCAATTGTAAACAGCACTTTGTGGCGTTTGTAGACAGGGGAAAAACGGGCCAAATTCAGATAAGTAATTCTCCTCGCTCCTCGCATTTAGGCTTTCTCACTGAAGCTGCCCTTTCAGTTTTCCTTGTAATGGGTCTTGTTTGGAAATCTTTAGAAGATATTCGAAGAGATATACTCGGTCACAATTACAGTAGATCAACAGTTATACAATGCAGTATACAGACATTAATCGCCGTTCGAGATCTCCACGGTATAGGATACTTACATAGGGAAGTCAAAGTGCTCCAGCTGTCTTTCGATTTTGTTGTTAACACACAGAAGAAGTCCCATCGATGGGACGTCCTCACCCAAGGAAGTGGGGTGGGGAGGGAATGAGGGAGGAGGGACCGTCGTTTTGTGACCAGTACGTGGGACTTCGCCAACAAAGATCAGCAGTGGAAGAGTAACGACTATGGTCCCACACAGAATGTCGTTCATTTTCCATAGAAGAAAGGAGGGGGGGGGGGTTGCACTTGGGTCAATATTGTGAACTTGATAACTCCAATGACTGGTTAGTAATACTGATCGTAGCAAAACCACTGGTGTTTCGAGTCAACTAGCTAGGAAATATGAGCAGTTTCAAACCGTGTGGACAGTTGCCGGTTCAGGCAGGGGTGGCTCAGTGATGTGGCAACGTTTCCTTGTGCCATATGCGTTCTCTTATGTTTACCTCTCTGCGCCAAGCCTGTTCTACGCCACAGCGACTACACCTGGCTCTGTAACCACGCCCCTTCTCAACACCGTGGTATGGAATGACCACGGTATAGCCTTGTTTGCTACGGATGCTAGCGCATGTCAAAGGGGCCGGGTTGGAGCATCGCCATCCCCTTCTCTGGCAAGCGGGCAATTGGCAACAACTGGTGGTGGACGGGCTAGCGCTGCGGCAAACACCCCCGGGCACGCTCCGCCATCCGCAGCGAACGAGACTTTTCAATGTTTGCAGCTTCTAGTCTTCAGATATGTTGCCTATTACGTTCCTTCCCTACAACTGACCCCTCAATTTGCAAGAATACAGAGCCAGAAAACATTTTGAGATATTTTCATTTCATAGCTACTTGTTTCAGGGATATAAAGCCCCAAAATTATGCAGTTGGTCTTGCAGAACAGCAAAATATGGTTTATATGTTAGATTTTGGTATTGCTCGAAAGTATACCGTAGGCGATACTAAGGAAGTCAAGTCAGTCTGAGAAACCATTATTGACAACAAGTCGGATAAGTGTTGAGGGTACTGAAAGGATGGCTCCGTTTTATAGTTTCTCTATTCAGATTACCAAGAGCCAAAGTAAGCTTTCTCGGTACAGTACGATTCGCATCACGGGCATGTCACAAAAACCTCGAGCAAGGGCGAAAAGACGACTTGGAGTCCTGGATCTTCATGGTATGTCCCTTTAGCTCTATGAAGAAAAAAGGTAAACGCCCACCCTAAAATGAACGCATTAGCAGATGCGTCAATGCCTGTCGTCTTGCATGTTTCTGTGCTCTCCCTCCTGTCTTTGTTGTCTAGCCTCTCATCTGAGAGCAGGTTATTTCGTCATCATACGTTCATGCAAAGCTCAAAGTCAACCCAGTGAAGAGGGTCTTACATAGGACCCTTCCGGCGTCTCCCTGTTTTTTTTTCATGGACGACCCATCGAACATGCATTTTCATACCCCTACATTGTGGACTCCAGATCTTATCTCGTTCAACATTCTTTCCGTTGAGAAAACAAAGAATATGCAGTTTCTGAGGTCGCAATCAGCCGGCCAGTCAAAGGGATGGACGGCGCAGTTTGTCGAC